TGGTGGCAGCAGGCAGTGGACTTTAATAATTAATAATGCATCATCTTTATTGTATAGTATGGTGTGTAGTAAGTAGAGTACATAGGGCTATAGCATTTTCAGTACCCAAAATTTTATACCATCTAATTCCTATTTCTTCTCATTAATAATCTGGTCTGATCTCTGCAGAATGAGTTCTTGTTTTTGTAGTTTTGTCTCTGTGTTGCATTTAGGTTTTTGTGAGGAACATTTTTCTGCAGCAGAAGAAGAAGAAGAAGTGGAAGGCGGAGGAGGAGGAGGGGGAGTGTGAGAAGATTGTTCTTTTTTCTGATGATTTTGAGTATTTTTTTTATGTTTATTGGATTGTTTTTTCTGATGAATTAATGGGATGATCCAAATAATGGCTGAATTAGTTGAGAAATAGGAGTGTGTGTGATCATGTTATTTTGAATTGGTTAGGTTTGGGTTTAAGATATGTGGATTATTAGAGATAATTGAGGGTTAAAACCCACCATTATTAGGGTTTATTGACTTATCTTACTTGTCCTAAAAACGCGCTCTATAGCTACCTCGTAAAACATAGGTTAAAAATCACTTTTTATTATGTACTTTCGTTGAAGTAATGATTTAGAGTCTGTTTGGGAATGGTTTTAGAATTAAAAGTGATTTTTATTGAATTATTTTAACGTTTGGTTACACACTTTTTCAAATTATAGTTAAATGTTATTTTGAATGATTGATATTTGAAGTTTAAAGAGAGAATTTGACAAAAGTTGGTGAGGGATAAAAATCTTAGAGAGAGAAATTTTAGAGGGTGAGAGACAAAAATTTAGACAGAGAAATAATTAAACTAGAAACGAGATTAAAACTAAAATTTTAGCGGAAAAAATTAGAGAGAATAAACAAAATTAAAATCAAATAAAGTTAGAGAGTGACACACATTTGAAATAGAAAGATAAATTTAAAATTTAAAACCATGAATATTTCACAAACTAATTTCCTATTAATTTTTTTTTACCAAAAATCATTTGGGAACAAGTGATTTACCCGAAATCACTTAAAAGTTATTTTAATTTGGATTCTTCCAAAATCACTTGAGAATTATTACCAAACATATCATTTTAAAACGGTAGTGATTTTAACAAGATCGAGTAAAAGCGATTCTAGCCCTCCCAAACAACCCTTTAGTTCCACGAGACATAAACTTTAGTTTGTAACTATTATTTTCAAATTTATAACAATGTAGTCCTTCAACTAGTGGTGTAGGTAACAATTTAGTTTTCTGGAATCTAAAGTTTGCAATAATTTAGTTTTTATCGTAAAAAAATATTGTCTAGTTTCTAATATACGTGTTTATGTAGATGAATAAAATAACGAGGGATAAAATATGTTTTAACTTAGGTATAATTAGCAACTCTTCTGAAAAATCTTTAAAAAGAGTTGAGGGGTGGAACTGAAAATCTTTGGCTAAGCTTCTATGATCTACTTGTAGTTGTAGGCCTTTTTATATTTTTTCTTTAATATATGTATCCTTTTTATATTATAACAAAAATAAATGTAGTTTCATTTATTTTTCTTTTCTTTCTTTCTAATGTGGTCACAGACTCACACAATAGGTTGGAAATGTTGAGATCTCATATAATAATATAAGTATTAGTAATATTGATCGATATTCTTGAAAAAAATATTATGAATATAAAGATTTTTAAAACAATAATTTGAATTTATGAAAGATAAATTTTCCACTTTTCAAATAAGTTATAAATTCCTATTTATAATTATATGATGTCTATTGACATTGATAATTATATTTTTCTTTTTCCTTTACAATTTATTGATGTTTTTATATAATACTGTAAAAATGTTGATTATTGATTGTTTGTATCGATTATATTTATTCAATCTTTTTAATTTATGAGAGCATTAAGATTTATAGAGGAAAAAAAACAATGATATTGACTTTTGGGATTGGAACATTTTGAAATTGATAAACCTATCAATCTAAGGACTGTTAATTAACAGAGATTATGATGACACCATTGGAAAGTTTGCAATAACAATTGTGTTCATCATCATTACACCACAAAAGCATTTAAACCTAAATAGTTAAATTGCTCAAAACCCATTTTTTATATATATGAAAATAATGAAACTAATTTGTTACAAAAACCTAAAAATGTACTTTACCTTGTTTTTATATTTTGTTATTATCCCTAAATAAAGCTATTCCTTATTTGTTGAATGTTTGAATATCTACCCATTATAGAAAGATAATGAATCACTAATTTAATTAAAAAATAGACCATACATTACAACTAGTAGTTTAAAGATTGAAATCAAAAGAGATTATTATTATGTGTTGATTTGATTGCTTTGCAGTTAAGGGCTGCAGTTGGACCATCGGTATCAACCAAAAGGGAGGCTTTAATTCTGTCTTATAATTGATTTGGCTGAGATATATCTAACCAAAATCTTGAAACGGACCAGGTTTGATGTGTTTGAAAGTGATTTTTGGTGTCATTGTCAAAATCGTTTTATTTTCATTGATCATATTTGACAAATTAAAAGATTAATTTTAAGAAAGTTTAAAATCACTTTAACATTGATTTTTAAGGTATCACACGATGATTTTGAAAAATCAATTATACTTGAATTTTTTTTTTCAATGTTCGAATCTTAGGGGGAAAAAGTTAATTTTTAGAGAGTTGTTT